GTGCAAGTCAGTGGAGCTCCGAAGGTCCGAACACTCAAGGAAAATCACCGCTGCATTAGCCCTTGACTGAAGGAAACAACGAAGTAGACAGCTTGTGCTCTACGTAGGTTTCTCGCCCAGCAGGTACGTCAATCCGGCGTCCCGGATTGACTTCACAGATGCAGCACTGGCGTCTTCGTTGGTGCCAGTCCAGTGCGCATCCCTGGCACCCCCTGCTCAAAAGAAAAAACAATCCAACGGGATCCCTGTGATTACAAGGGGCACACGCACACACTTTTGTTGAATTGTATTCTTATTTTTGTGTTTTCCAACATGGATATGTCAATGAATCTCAACAGCAAATATTCTTCAACACCGTCCTAAAGCCGAATGTATTTATGTTTAGTTTAATTGCCTGTATAATTACCAGTACATCTAAATACAGTTTTGTATTTTGACTTTTTGTTTTATAGTATTTAATTATACAATCATTGTCATACACATTTAAAATTTGTTTTTTGAATTGTGAGACGGACGTGGACCGACTAGCCTTTGTGGTTCTTTGGATGCGTCGGCGACCGCTTCTCGCGTCGGGAACCGAGAAGGCGAAACCCGTCGGACGGCGAGGTCACATCTAGGGTCACTGACTGACCGCTGACTGACTGACCGGCCGATCCGATGATCTGGGTAGTGCGGGACTGTGGGTAGTGCGGGACCAAGGCCGGCTGCGCTGGTGACGAGCATCAAAGCCTTAGGGCGGACAGAGGCATGGGAGCAGGCGGCGGCGAATCCGCGAATCCGCGAAGTGAGTGGTTAGAGATTTTGAGGATCAATGGGAGTTAGTCCCCAGAAAAAACATCCACCATATCTACAGAAGTTTGATTTTGAAGTAATGTCCGATCTTATTTCATAGTAGACCGGGTCCGCCCCCCCTCCCTATCAAACAATCGAGAGTGTCTGAATAGAATCAACACCAAAACCAACAGTATTGTTATTATTAGTAGTAGTACTAGCAGTAGTAAGTGCAGTAGTAAGTAGTATATAATATATAAGTAGTAGTAGTAGTAGTAGTAGTAGTAGTAGTAGTAGTAGTAGTAG